CCACTAATTCAACAGATACCAGTCGTCTAGACTTGACTCTTGTCTACTAATTCAACAGATAACAGGTATCTAGACTTGGCTCTTTTCCACTAATTCAACAGATAACAGTCACCAAACTCTGACACAACCCAGTCACCAAACCCTGACACAACCCAGACACCAAACCCTGACAACCCAGACACCAAACCCTGACAACCAAGACACAACCTATTCACCAAACGCTAACACAACCCAGTCACCAAACCCTGACACAACCCAGTCACCAAACCCTGACACAACCCAGTCACCAAACCCTGACAACCAAGACACAACCTATTCACCAAACGCTAACAAAACCCAGTCACCAAACCCTGACACAACCCAGACACCCAACCCTGACAACCCAGACACCAAACCCTGACACAACCCAGTCACCAAACCCTGACACAACCCAGACACCAAACCCTGACAACCCAGTCACCAAACCCTGACAACCCAGACACCAAACCCTGACAACCCAGTCACCAAACCCTGACACAACCCAGTCACCAAACCCTGACAACCCAGTCACCAAACCCTGACACAACCCAGTCACCAAACCCTGACAACCCAGTCACCAAACCCTGACACAACCCAGTCACCAAACCCTGACACAACCCAGTCACCAAACCCTGACAACCCAGACACCAAACCCTGACACAACCCAGTCACCAAACCCTGACACAACCCAGTCACCAAACCCTGACACAACCCAATCACCAAACCCTGACACAACCCAATCACCAAACCCTGACACAACCCAATCACCAAACCCTGACAACCCAGTCACCAAACCCTGACACAACCCAATCACCAAACCCTGACCTAACCCTCACCCAACCCTGACCCAACCCTGACCCAACCCTAACCCAACCCTAACCAAACTCTGTTCTGTTCAACTTTCTTGAACAGGTAAAACTTGTAATAAGATATACAATGAAACCCAATGTATCCACATGGAAGCGTTCCCACTGAAACCATCTTGATTAAAATAATTCCATATTAATGAATCCCGAGTGTTACTGTTACTTTGTCTACACAAAGCATTCTCAGAGTAACCATCCAGAAAAGACTATCAGACAAAGGGAGTTCACACTGATGGGGATTAATGTATAGGCAAACTATTAAACATAAGCAATCTTCACTTGCATGATTGCAGCTACCTTAACCCTGGATCAGACTGCTCCAGGCAAGCGGTGACCCATGTCTGGCAATACCAACACCAACTTGATACATGGCAGCGCTGTGTAGGTGGGAGGTGACATTGTCAGTGTAAGTGCCCACGAGCTATGGGGCACTGGTTAAGGGTGTTGATAAGTATAAAAGGAAAATGTATCTCACACGTTGGCATGTGGAAAGGCTTCAGCAGAGTACTAACCATTATGGCACTTCCCATACAGGGGACACAAGAATGGGTTTTAGAATATTGTCGTGGGGCAACATAGACTATGACAAACAAACATAATCTGGCAGACTACAGGTACCCCACATTTGAGATTGCTTATAAACTAAACTCCCAATGACTACTTTCCACATGCAAGGAAAATATGTCACTAACCTTATTTGGTCCAGTAAGAAAGTAGATGAGTGCAAAATCATTATTTGTGATACCTTAATTCGCTTAGCACGTAAATATTGGGAACCGTGAAAAGAAAAATTGTTGTATTTTTCCTGTGTAACTAAAACATTTCTAACATGCACTGTAAGGTAATTACACTCTGATAATATCCCCAATGGGGATTCTTGGTTAAAGAAGGTCCCCAGTACCTCATGATTGCCACATGAGCAACTTAATGTAGATCTAGTAGTCAGACTTGTCATATCATATTTGTTGCATCATATTTGTCATATCATACTTGTATCATACTTGTCATATCATACATGTCATATCATAATTGGCAAATCATACTTGTATCATATTTGTTGAATCATATGTCATATCATACCTGTCATATCATACCTGTCATATTATACTTGTCGTATCATACTTGTCATATCATACCTGTTGTATCATTCTCGTCATATCATACTTGTCATATCATACCTGTTGTATGGGTACATGGCTACAATGTGTGAAGCCCATTTCTGGTGTCCCCCGCCGTGATATTGCTGGAATATTGCTAAAAGCGGAGTAAAACCATACTCACTCATTCACTCACTCATACTTGTCATATCATACCTGTCATATCATACTTGTTGTATCACACTTGTCATATCATACCTGTCATATCATACTTGTCGTATCATACGTGTCGTATCATACCTGTCATATCATACCTGTCATATCATACTTGTCATATCATACCTGTTGTATCATTCTCCTCGTATCATACTTGTCATATCATACTTGTCGTATCATACTTGTCATATCATACCTGTCGTATCATACTTGTCATATCATACCTGTCGTATCATACTTGTCGTATCATACCTGTCTGTCATATCATACCTGTCAGATCATACTTGTCATATCATACCTGTCGTATCATACTTGTCGTATCATACTTGTCATATCATACTCAAATGACATGGACTGCTGCTCATGCTGACTGGATTGTCCCCGATCAATTAATGGCTGTCTGTATTAATGTAGCTGGAATACTGCTGACTGTGGCATTAAACAACATTCATTCACTCTAAATAACATCACTCATCTAGATGACATCACACATGTACATCATTGACAGAAAAAATATAACAAAGTCAACAGCTCCACTTGATATCAAAGAGTGCATATCACTTAGAGGTATCATCTTGGATCAACTCGTCCACAATCTTTCCACAAATGTCAGCTTAAAATAGTTTTAATGTCAGTGAGGAAGTACTGTCAGTGCGACACTTACCGCAAGTAATGTAATTACATTATCAATCTTTATTCCTTATCACACACTTCAAACTGCTCCACTCTCCTCCATTCCCACAACGACCAAATGTAAAAATGTTCATTTTTCTTCAGCATTTGACAGAGATGAAGCAGTAGATTAATCCTAAAGCCCTGAACCAAATGCGTCTCTCCCCAAACTCAGCACCTCAATAGCAATCTCTAGTTACTCCTTATCACTCAACTAACGATCACACATGGCATGCAAACATCCGAAGTGTGGTCAAGGCACACAGCCATGGAAACAGCACCTTCTCTCCAATGATAACTTGACCCATCTAATATCCAAGAATTTCATAAGAAATTAATTCTCAAGCCCTTTGAAATTGGACTGTCAGTCAGTGTGGATTGTGCTACTGATTTAGGAAGATCAGTATTGATTGCGTTGCTTGGTGTCCACCAGTGACGCTGCTTGCGACGACGGCATGTATGGCATACTTACAAAAACTTCACAAAGACGCTGAGTACAGCAAGATTCAAGTGGAAATAAATTCCAGATTGAAATGGTTCTTGGCGTTCTCATAAAAAAACACAGAAAAATTCAAGCAAGCAATATCATTCCTGTTATATTTTTTAAAACTACACAATCTACATTTTTCAGGAGACATCAAGAAAAGGCCTTGCACCCAGAACATGTAGGAATTTAACCTTCATCCGGCTCCATGTTGTTAAAGATATAGTAGAGTCAACTACACTTAATGCAAATATCAAGAAAAGGTCTCATACCCTGAACATGAAGTATTTGAAAGTATAGTGATCCAGCGCTGTACTTACCTGGATATGTAGTCAACAGTTTCAACTGGCCAACAAAGACCGACACTCAAATAAAGTTGCTGGCAGCAGTGATATCCAAACATATGCTGCATAAACACTGATGCTGCATTAACACTGATGCTGCATAAATACTGATGCTGCATTAACACTGATGCTGCATAAACACTGATGCTGCATAAACACTGATGCTGCATAAACACTGATGCTGCATTAACACTGATGCTGCATAAACACTGATGCTGCATAAGCACTGATGCTGCATAAACACTGATTCTGCATAAACACTGATGCTGCATAAACACTGATGCTGCATAAACACTGATGCTGCATATTCACTGATCACTCAAAAATAACACCAGCATTTCATGGAACAAAATATGATTTCACCTAAAGGAGGAACATGCAAGTCAGTTCAGCTCCTTCAGTCTGGCAATTGAAGAGTAGAAGAAGTTTACACAGCCAAATATGCATTTTTAGAGAATTTAGCAGCATGGTCAAAGTACACCTCAGAGTTGGTCTTCCTGGTGGTCATTCCTCCAGGTGTTAAATACACCACTGTCCTGGTGACACCTCAGAGTTGGTCTTCCTGGTGTTCATTCCTCCAGGTGTTAAATACACCACTGTCCCGTTGACACCTCAGAGTTGGTCTTCCTGGTGGTCATTCCTCCAGGTGTTAAATACACCACTGTCCCGGTGACACCTCAGAGTTGGTCTTCCTGGTGGTCATTCCTCCAGGTGTTAAATACACCACTGTCCTGGTGACACCTCAGAGTTGGTCTTCCTGGTGGTCATTCCTCCAGGTGTTAAATACACCACTGTCCCGGTGTCACCTCAGAGTTGGTCTTCCTGGTGGTCATTCCTCCAGGTGTTAAATACACCACTGTCCCGGTGTCACCTCAGAGTTGGTCTTTAGAATGGTCACACATCTAAGACCTACGCCATTGTGGCACCCTCTGGAAACTTCTGGGTGTGACACACAAGGGTTGTATTTGTGACCCTGCAGCGTTACAAATTTCCACTAGTCCTGTAGTCCTTGCCAAACAGCCCAATAGCTAAGGTATCATAAGGACTAGTAGAATTTTTTTTAGAGTTGTGCTATATGTTATCATTATAAGGACCAGTGGACTAAAAATGTTAGTTTCTATTGCCTCCCTGGTCGTATTACAACTTCTGTAACAGTATGTAGATGGAGAAATAATGTATGAACTCTCAGAAATATCACAGGGACAGTGTGTCAGACAAAGGAAATAGATGCTTCTTCTGACAGAGGATGGCAATAACTGAAACTAGGGTGCATACGGTCGTGTGTAGATCTGAAACACATTACCTCGTCAAAGAGTTGTGTCCCGTCCTTCCCGGCTCCCCTCATCAGTTCATCAATTCCACCAGGATGAAACTCCAGGTATGGAGTGATGTTATACACCTTTCCTGAAAAGAAGGACAGGCATGTGAAGTCAAGCATTGATCTTGTTACAAACTCTTACCATTACAGTCTTAATTCAATCAACACATAGACAAATGGCAAAACATATGGCGGAATATCAAGAAACTAGAACAGTGATTTGATGGATTAATGCTGTTTTAAGAAATGTTGTACTCAGTATCTCTAATGTTTAGGCACACCAAGCCTTAGAGGAATATTAGTAGCCAAGGATAGTCCAGACGGGGACAATATTCCACCTCCCAAGACTGACAGGAATAATTTGTACAAAGGATTCTCAAACTGGTCCGATGTTCCCCCTCCCTACACTGACAGGACCATACTGTACCAAGGATTCTCAAGCTAGGAATCTTCCCCCTCCCAAAGCTGAGAAGAACACATTATACCAAGGATGTTCAAGGTTGAGCCAATATTCCCTTTCTCAAAAATAAGAAGAACAATTTGCACCAAGGATACTCAAAACTGGGCCAATGTTCTACCTCCCCAAACTAAGAAGAACATATTTTACCAAGGATATTCAAATTGTGCCAATATTCCCCTTCCCAAGACTGAAAGATTCTCAAAGCTGGGCCAATGTTCCCCCTCCCCAAACTAAGAGTAAGAAGAACATATTTTACCAAGGATATTCAAATTGAGCTAATATTCCCCTTCCCAAGACTGACATGAACAATTTGCACCAAGGATTCTCAAAACTGGGCCAATGTTCTACCTCCCCAAACTAAGAAGAACATATTTTACCAAGGATATTCAAATTGAGCCAATATTCCCCTTCCCAAAACTGCCAGGAACAATTGGCACGAAGGATTCTCAAAGCTGGGCCAATGTTCCCCCTCCCCAAACTATGAAGAACATATTTTACCAAGGATATTAAAATTGAGCCAATATTCCCCTTCCCAAGACTGCCAGGAACAATTGGCACCAAGGATTCTCAAAGCTGGGCCGATGTTCCCCCTCCCAAGGTATAGAGAAACACATTGTGCCGAGGAGATTGCAACCAATGCTATTTCCTACTTAAACTTAATCAATCAGAAGCAGCACACAGAGAGGGATTTGTCCTAACAAGGCTTGTTCTCCACCACAAACTGACAGAATGCAGCTAAACACTGTGTAACAACTAGCTTGTAGGCTGGTTCTCCACCACACTGACAGAATGCAGCTAAACACTGTGTAACAACTAGCTTGCAGGCTGGTTCTTCACCATCCTGAGCTATTCATCCTCCGAACCCAAGTGTATTCATTATATGTTTAGTGACTCCACTCTACATGAATGTGAAATCCAAGTAGGAACAACCTCAAAAACATAAAAATAAACTATTCCAAAAAGTTAAGGAACACCCAATTCTTTCATATTACAGAAGTTAATTTCTCATGTCATGACAGATTAACTCCATTGAATGTGGCGTGTGGGCTTGGGGACACCAAATGTGGGATTCACACATTGTACCCATGTTGGAAATCCAACCTAGACCATCGGCGTGGCGAGCAACCATTTTAACCACAAGGCTACCCTACCGCCCCAAGAATATATCATGCCATGACAGATTAACTAAACTGATATGTAGCAGTGTTAGAAATTGGCACTAGTCCTATAGTTACTGCCCAATAGTTAACATGGTTAAGGTATCATAAGGACAAGTAGAAATTTGCCATTTTTAAGGGGTTTGTTATATGTTATCATTATAAGGACTAGTGGACTAAAACGGTTAGTTTCTACCTCTGCAAAACTGACTATTTTTTTAATAGCATATGTATACATGTATTCAGTGTTTCCTAGGCATGCCAAAACATTTGAGGTGTGACTTATACATTTAGTATAGACTAGTACAAAACACTGATTTCATATTTTCAGTGTCTGTGACAGTGTTAGGAACTCCAAGCAGTTGATACCTACAAGAGAAAAACCTGTCAATCCATTTCTAAGCCACTTGTGCCCAAACACTACATTCCTGAAGCTGGGTCAATTGTTTTTAGGGTTAATGGGTTACTGGCCTATAAGTATTTACATAGTTCTACAGCTCTTAAGTTAAGAACAAGATTGGCTTGTATCACAGTCCTTGTAACTAAACAGACGTAAGAGGCCTGTCATAAAACATTACCAGAGTGCTGAAGAGAGACGGAGTACCAAGACTCTGCTCATAAGCTCCATGTTTCCAACATGAGTAATGGGGAGTTGGCTATTCCTGATAAGTTCCATCACTTATCCAAATGTAATTGACTGTAAATGTATTGACAGCTTCCACAAGCACTGGAGGGTGGCTGAAGGGCAATATGGGTATACTGCCAATTGCTCAGAATTACTTATATCATATAAAGTGTTTAATAGCTGTTATACAGTCAGTCTTGGAAAGTGGTATCTTGGCAGTACTCAACATCATTTATAGTGCTGAGCTGCTATACAACTGTTTTAGGGGAGGTGATAACTTGGCAATACTCAACATTATTTATGGTGCTGAGCTGCTATACAACTGTTTTAGGGGAGGTGATAACTTGGCAATACTCAGCATCATTTATAGTGCTGAGCTGCTATACAACTGTTTTAGGGGAGGTGATAACTTGGCAATACTCAACATCATTTATAGTGCTGAGCTGCTATACAACTGTTTTAGGGGAGGTGATAACTTGGCAATACTCAACATCATTTATAGTGCTGAGCTGCTATACAACTGTTTTAGGGAGGTGATAACTTGGCAATACTCAACATCATTTATAGTGCTGAGCTGCTATACAACTGTTTTAGGGGAGGTGATAACTTGGCAATACTCAACATCATTTACAGTGCTGAGCTGCTATACAACTGTTTTAGGGGAGGTGATTACTTGGCAATACTCAACATCATTTATAGTGCTGAGCTGCTATACAACTGTTTTAGGGAGGTGATAATTTGGCAATACTCAACATCATTTATAGTGCTGAGCTGCTATACAACTGTTTTAGGGGAGGTGATAACTTGGCAATACTCAACATCATTTATAGTGCTGAGCTGCTATACAACTGTTTTAGGGGAGGTGATAACTTGGCAATACTCAACATCATTTATAGTGCTGAGCTGCTATACAACTGTTTTAGGGGAGGTGATAACTTGGCAATACTCAACATCATTTATAGTGCTGAGCTGCTATACAACTGTTTTAGGGGAGGTGATAACTTGGCAATACTCAACATCATTTATAGTGCTGAGCTGCTATACAACTGTTTTAGGGGAGGTGATAACTTGGCAATACTCAACATCATTTATAGTGCTGAGCTGCTATACAACTGTTTTAGGGGAGGTGATAACTTGGCAATACTCAACATCATTTATAGTGCTGAGCTGCTATACAACTGTTTAAGGGAGGTGATAATTTGGCAATACTCAGTTTATTTTTTGTTTGTTTGTTGTTTAACACTGCACTCAGCAATATTCCAGCTATAGTCATTATACAGTCATTATACCCAAAAATAACCTGTCTGTAACATTTACCATTAATTTCAGTACTCTAGGGGCAGTTTGTTCATTCATTTAATCAACACATACAATAGCTCTATTATTGTTATGGTATTGTCTGTGTGCATTTGCTATCACACAAATATTTGCTTGTTTGTTCGTTTGTTGCTTAACAGGACTCTCAGCAATATTCCAGCTGTTTTTTGTAAATACAGTAACCTACGGTTATAACGAACTCAAAGGGACAACAAATTTTAGTTCGTTATAACCGTAGTTCGTTATAAACACATATACAGCATATATACAGCAAATGGCCGGGACCCAAAAAACAGTTTGTTATATCCGCCAGTTCGTTATAAGCGTGTTCGTTATAAACATAGTTTACTGTAATGGACCAGAATAACCAGTGACTGACACCATGGGCAACATCCCATACCTTGGGGTGCAATGAAACACAATAAAGTTAGTCACTGAGCCTCATCCCGGGACCGATTTATAGCTGGGAGGAGACCATTGAAATGAAAATCCTACATAAGGAAAATCAGGTTTGATATTTTTTACTTCGACAAAAAGTTAATTTCCAGCCCTGCTGATTCTGAAATCAGGATTTCCAGCACCCAAAATATTCTCATTGTCACATGCAGACATCTTGGTGGAGATCAATAGAGTCGTGCAGAGGAATTACATACACATGGTTAGAGTTCAAGGATTCCGCCCCAGGAAACATCTTAACTTCTTCATGCTGAACTTCCATTTTCAGATCTAAAGGATACTACTGTTGCTTAAAATTTAGTGATGTATTGATATTCGTACTCATGAATTCGTATCACGTTGATCATGTCTTAACAGAAAGTCAGTATGACACACACAGAAATAGAAGCTAGAGACAATAAATTATATCAATACTGTATCAATACTGTTAGGAGCATAACAATATATCAAACTATCAAATGAGTGAGTGAGTGAATATTGCTTTATGCAGCATCAGCAATGTCACAGCTATTTGCAGCGATCAAACTACCGTATTGTATTGCAATTGTTTGCCCTACGACAATACTATATCGTTTGTTTGTTTATTTGTTTGTTGTTTAGCGCAACACTCAACAATATTCCAGCATATGACGGCGGTCTGTAAACAATCGGGTCAGGACCAGACAACTCAGTGATTAATATCATGAGCTTCAATCCGCGCTATTGGGATCGATGACATGCATCAACCAGGTCAGCTAGCCTGACCACCCAATCCTGATAGTCGCCTTTTACGACAATCATAGGAGCCTTTTACGGCAAGCATGGGTTGCTGAAGATCTATTCTACCCCGGATCTTCACGGGTCTCGAGCATGAGCATGAGCATCGTTCTACACAAATGGGATATAATGACAAGCATCAACCAAGTCAGCGAGCCTGGCCATCTGGTCCCATTAGTTGCCCTTAATGACAAGCATAGTCGCCTTCTAGTGTAGTAAAACTACAGTACATTGACCTTAATCACACAGTTGTCATGGTGAACACAGGTGTCATTTCTCCGAAAACACTTCATACCATACAGGGAAATGACTGCT